GAAAATAAATGAAAATAAATGAAAATAAATGAAAATAAATGAAAATAAATGAAAATAAATGAAAATTAAATGAAAATAAATGAAAATAAATGAAAATAAAATTGAAAATAAATGAAAATAAATGAAAATAAATGAAAATAAATGAAAATAAATGAAAATAAATGAAAATAAATGAAAATAAATGAAAATAAATGAAAATAAATGAAAATAAATGAAAATAAATGAAAATAAATGAAAATAAATGAAAATAAATGAAAAATAAATGAAAATAAATGAAAATAAATGAAAATAAATGAAAATAAATGAAAATAAATGAAAATAAATGAAAATAAATGAAAATAAATGAAAATAAATGAAAATAAATTAAAATAAATGAAAATAAAATGAAAATAAATGAAAATAAATGAAAATAAATGAAAATAAATGAAAATAAATGAAAATAAATGAAAATAAATGAAAATAAATGAAATAAATGAAATAATGAAATAAATGAAAATAAATGAAAATAAATGAAAATAAATGAAAAATAAATGAAAATAAATGAAAATAATGAAAATAAATGAAAATAAATGAAAATAAAATGAAAATAAATGAAAATAAATGAAAATAAATGAAAATAAATGAAAATAAATGAAAATAAATGAAAAATAAATGAAAATAAATGAAAATAAAATGAAAATAAATGAAAATAAAATGAAAATAAATGAAAATAAATGAAAATAAATGAAAATAAATGAAAATAAAATGAAAATAAATGAAAATAAATGAAAATAAATGAAAATAAATGAAAATAAATGAAAATAAATGAAACTAATCAAGTATTTTTGTTAAAAGTCTAGATTAGAGGTGTTGAAGAAGATATGAAAAAAGTACATTTTTATGTTTTTCATCCTATAAAATTTTGTCTGATAATAATACATAGGCGTAGAACTTGATTTTTTAAATAATTGCACCTTTATAAATTCTACGCCAATGGAAGAAAAGGGGTTTGAGTATGAAATTTGGATTAGGTACTCATTTACTACAAAAAAGTACCCTTGATAACAGTCGATTTACTCTCATGGTTTTGACAAAGTTTGTATTTTAATAATTATTGTTTATGTTCTAAAATTACTAAAATGCAAATTTCGTCAAAACCATGAGAGTAATCGAGTCTTATGAAGAGTACCTTTTTTAAAGTAAATGAGTTGCGCAGTCTAAATTTCATACTCAAACTCTTTTTCTTCTATTGACGTAGAATTTTTAAAGGTGCAATTATTTAAAAAATCAAGTTCTACGCCTATGTATTATTATCGGACAAAATTTTAATACCATTTTTTTTGCCACATAAAACTCTACCAATATACCAAATTTCAGCAAAATCGCATATGCTGTTTTAAATTTATATGGGATAAACGATTTAAAAATTGTAACTTCAAGGCCCTCTGGAGCCCAAACGAAGCAACTTTATACTAAGGTAATTTTACTTAAATCGACTTATTTTGGTCTAAGGAATATATGGTATGTTTTGTAAAGACCTTTTACAGACACCCTGTATAAATTAATAGGAGTAGATAAAACATTTTACAAATTATTTTGCAGTCAAAATTTGACGTTTCAATTTGAGTTAATTCGACTTTTAGATGACAGCCGCCACCTACTTATAAAGAATCTAAAAATTGCAATCAGTAAATCAATGCTTAAAGTAGGCCCTATAAGAAATGCATGGGTTTTTAAGAACATTGATAATTAAAGTAGGCTTGAAAATTTGACACGTCAGCTATTGACACACGGTCCAATTTAAACACCGCCTTCTAGACCAGTCTCAATTCCGTTGGAGAGCCCTCGTATATCTTAATTTTATCTTTTTTACTGTTGTATTATTTATATTCTATGATATCTGCTGATATAATAATAGTTACTATTATGATTTCAAAGAACTGCATCGTAAAAATATGTACAGAGGGTGTCTGAATATATTTCACGACATTAATTGGCCAATTAATTACATTTCCAGTATAAACAAACAATTCAATGCAATAATTTTCAAATCACCTTGTACAGCCATTATAAACCAAATAATCTACACACAGGAATTGCTGACTGGAACCAAAACACATTTTAAAGAGTCACTTATACACCAACAACAAGTTGATTCTAAAGAACATTAACTTATATCAAAAAATATTGTAATTTAATTAAAAAAAAAAATCAAAAACGATAAACAGTAAATAAGTATTAATAATTGATTCTTAAGAATGTCCAACGAACTGATCTATTTAAGTAGAGGCGACTATCAAATTGATTTATACATTTTGACCCTACTTATGATTCTGTTGTTTTCCACCATGGTCATCATCGCGGCAGATCTTTGGTCCTTACGTCGCGAAGAATTCGAGCATTGCTTCTGCTGCCAAGACATGGACGATATTTTAGAGGATTCGGACGCTGAAGACGACTTAAGTGACACTGAAGATGACAGTGGTATCGATATTGATAATATTACTAGCTTTGAAGACGATATTGAGTGCGATTAATTTGTTTGACGTTTGTGCTGTTTTTAATTAAATAGTTATGATTTGGGTCAATTTTTAAGTCTAAGGGCCAAACTTCAGATGTGGTTAATTTGGACAAAAATAGGTTCATTTAAGCTTATTAACCTTAGTAGAATTTTGCTTACTTTAGAGGTTACAGGGTGGAGAAAATGTTTTTTTTTTTAATATTTTTACGATAATTCAAATATTTTTTGATTAAATATACCCAAATTTTGTGAAAGTAAGTTTTTTTGGGTGATACAAACGAATACCAGTTTTTTTGTTGCATTACGTGTACAGGGCGCTCTAAACTGTCGTGCCAATCTAGTATTTACTTCAGATTTTTTTTAAGAATGGACAATTTTGAAAAATGGTTAATTATTTTGAAAAAAGCGTTCAATTTTCTTTAAAAAAGGTATACTTGTTTCATGTCGTTAAAATGCATCATTTGAAGGAAAACTTAATTTAAAGTTAGTACTCGCAAATGTATGGATTACTCCATAATTTCTCAATCTGATAATGTTAAATCTAGTAGGCAGTTGTCAAATGTAGCACTGTCAGGATTAGTCTTACATACAAGGATTAGAGTTTTATGTGATAAAATTCGTTTTTTTTTTATACAATACCGCGACATAACTTTTTCTCAAACAGTGAAATGACCGATATGGTATCTGTTTACGCCCAACAAGCTTTTAATGCACGCGTTTCAGCAAGAAGTTACACATATTTGTATCCTACCGAAAATTGTTTTCATGTCTATTCAGCAGATTAAGAAGAAACCTGTTTTCGCCCCCAAAAAGAGTCAATGGACGACCTATGGTTCGAGATTTACAGCAGGAAGAAGAGGTGTTAAAACCTGTTGAAGATGACCCAACTACAAGTATCCATCGTATATCAGTAGATATACTAAGTTACCATGACCCCACATAGCGAATTCAATGTGTAAGAGTGAGAGGTACAGATTCAATGGGTAAGAGTGAGACATACGGTCTGAGGGTAAAACGGAGGAGTGAGAGGAGTGGGGGATTAAATTTCTGTTAATGTCGAACAGAAAAATTATGCGCAGAATGAAAGCCAGAAGGGCCTAAAACTTATATCTTTGTTATTGTTGGTCCGATTCAAACGGAAAAACGGCGTTATGTAGATAACTCGGTATAAATTAACGTCGAACAGAAAAATTATGCGCAGAACGAAAAGCCAGAAGGGCCTTAGCGTGTTCCTCGGGTATTACTGGTCCGATTCAAAAGAGAAAAACGGCATTATGTAGAGAACGCTGTATATTATGAACCTTGAAGAGAAAAATGCATGCGCAGAACGAAAGCATGTTTCTCAGATATTACTAGTCCGATTCAAACGGGAAAAACGGTATTGCGTAAAGAACGCGGTATAGATGAACGTTGAAGAGAAAATTTTGCACAATGCCACAAGGACCTTTTTTAAAAGTAAATAGGTGATTCAATATTTTTTTTTCCTTAGTTTTACCCTCAGACCGTATGTCTCACTCTTACCCATTGAATCTTTATCTCTCAATCTTACACATTAAATTCCCGGTACAAATAAAAAAATTTAAATAGGTGTCAAACTAACAGCTGTTTGCAACGACTTTCTTAAGGATTCCTTAAAGTTAAATAAATCTAAAGGGCAGGTTGTATAAATCTTACTTAAAGTTAAACTCTGTTTGAGGTGACATGACAAATTTTATATGGCATAAGCACAGTCTAAACACCATTTAGCTCTTAGGGATTGTTTCCCCAAACATTAGACTGCACATATACCATCGAAAATTGACATGTATCACCTAATACTGAGCTTAATTTTAAGTAAGCTTTATACAACTAGGAATTCTGGGAACGTCGCTCAATGTCCGGTCGTCCAGTGTCGTGCCAACGCGTTTTGCGCTGAATATTAGATAAAATAATAATAGGCATTGAGGAAAATATAAAATATGTAAGTTATTTTTTTTTTGGTTTATTATACTAGGAGGGCACATGCCCAAGTGCCCTTACGGGCAAACCGCCACTGGTCCAGAAACTATCGAGTAAAATGATCCTATTGCAACCTTTTACAATATTGTAGACAGCATATAATTTTACATTATAAATGTAAATTGCATAAAAAAATTTACTATCAAAAAATCAAAATTACCTACTTACTCAGTGTCGACTTTTAAAGGAGCTACGTCTACCATTGCACAAACTTCTATTTCTTTAATTAACACGTCCACCGCCTTTAAAATGTTAAAAATATATCATCAATAAATTTAACTAAATTAAAATTTTACTTGACTTAGAGTTTTGTCGCTGATATCACCACGTTCAATTGTAATAAATTCTTCGTTTTCTTCTAAGCTAACCAATGGAATATTGGTGATGTAAAAGCTAAAAATAATATTTGGATTAATTTCTTATCCCCGATTTTGATTTGTCAATAACTATTTACTCAAAAAATATATTGTGATATCCACTTTTTTCTGCATCGAAATTAATTTTAAATTCGTATTCGATAGCCCCGTAAGGGGCCAATTTCGTTGTGGTAGTTTCTCTGCAATATCCAATTCTCTTTGATATTTTGGAGACCTTCCAATATTCTGTTGGTAAATTTCCATTCGCACGTCAATGATAAAATAACTGAAATAAAAGAAAATTTAAAAATTCTAGATTAAAAATTTCATTTTAAATTCTGCTACCAAAAATAAAAAACCTCGTGAAATAAACACAAATAATGAAATCTCAAGAACTAAATATCTGCTAATATGTTAACTTTCCCTCAATGACGCCCACAAGAACGGTTTAGAATAAGCGATGATATTTATTAGACAGAGATAGAAGTAGGAGTAGAGATGTATCCATCGGGCCAATCACGTCAAACCAGGGCCATCGAGAGCCAGGCCGGGCAACAGGACAATTCTCTAGATCGGGCCCCGTGACAAAAAACTCTTCAAACAGAGACTTTTCCCCTTCTACTTGCATTGAATTTTCTAAAAAAAAAACTTTTCCTCCCCTGCTTGATTGCTTCTTCTAAAAAAAAAAAATAAAAAAGTTTCTTAAGCAAAAAACTTTTCCTCCTCTACTTGAATTGCTTTTTCTATAAAAAAAAGGTACCCAACCAAAAACTTCCCCCCTCTCGTCTTGTGTTGAATTTCTCATACAAAAACAAAGAAATCCAGTTGCCGGGCCCCCATTTGAGTCCGGGCCCGAGGGAATTAGTCGCGCGCTACCCCCCCTCTAGTCGGTCCTGCGTACAGTCATACGATTTACGAGCGTCTCTCTTTATTTATCTCACGTGCAAATATAATTAAGAGTATCGTCTTTATTTCGAAAGATCCATGGGTATATCATTTGCAGAAAAAAATTCCTGAACTTAAATATTCCTGTTTACAAGCTAAAACATTAACAAAAAACTTGTTTAAAAATACAAAGTACAATTATAATGTACAATAATATTAACAATTTCTTAAATAAAAATAAAGCCACATGGACATTATAAAAAAACCTCCATTCTTAAAGATACCATCAGTATTGAGAATCCATCAATAAAACCTAAAGACTTTTTTCTCTGTTTCATTAAAAAACAAAAACAAAACAAATATTACATACTCTAAGACAGGTTACCTTTAAAAAGTGTTTTTGTCACAATAATATCTGAATTCGGTTTTTTGTTTGTTATAAAATACGAATTTAAAAAAACTAATTAGCGGATTTAATGAGTTTTCAAGAAAATGCATAAGGTGTGTTCCTATGGAATCAGAAGTATTTAGACTAGATTCTTTAAAATCAAATATTCCAACAATCTGTTCACAGTAATTTCTAAACCTCAGGGGTCAATACTGGCCCTCATACTGTTTACCATCTATTTAAATGAACTCACTAGATGCATACGCAGTTCTATATGGAGATGACTTAACCTTACTTTGGACCAGTTCATCAGAAGAAATATTGCAAAATAAAATAGATTTTCACTTAAAATAAAGACAAATAAACTTGAATTTACAAAATTTTCAGTAATAACTTTTGATGCAATCCTAGAAATCTCAGAGGTTCCTAAATTCCTGTCATTTACATTAAATTTATTATGCTGATTTCGACTTAAAATTACTGTTGTTAAAAGTATAAAAATTATAGAAAAAAGATATTTGAATTATTTTTTATAATCTTACCTTTTTATTACGAATTAAAACAACCAAAGTTTGTGTCATACCGTTTCTGACGTTTCCAAAATAAACACAATAGTCCTTTTTCTTATTTATAACTGAATCCTTAGGAGGTATCTGAAACATTATTACTTGATATACAATTGGTTTCAAAGTTCTTTATGCATATGTCATAAATAGCTGTCATATATAATTATTCCTAGTAGTCTAATATTAGATGGTCCACAACAGAAGTTATAGAACACCTGAGACCCAAGTTGTTGATAATACAACTGATAATATTAATGACGAAGATGAACTGCCTAGTAGAAGCACTACTCTCTCTAGCTGCTTCCATTAACTCCTGCATCTCTAGTAAGTAGAACTGGACCTAATGTAAAACCTCCAGTTCGTTTAAATTTACAAACATATTTTAAAAAAGAAATATAGGGTTTTAGATTGTAATTTTTATATTTAAGGGGTTGACATTACTGAGAGTGTGTCAACACTGAGTCACTTGTCAATGTGAACTCGATTTTGCATCTATGTATTTCTGTCACATGCTTTGATTTTCTTTTACTATACGGAGAATGGTCGCACTGCGCAGCTTTCTAAGTGCCTTTTAAAAGGAGATAGAAAACTCCGCCATTTTGAACCCTTATTACGTGTTGCCTACATCTTGGCGCAATATTTTTAATAGGTGCGTTTTAATCATCCGCTTCTGCTTCGGAATTGTCGGTTTTCTTGTTTTAATTTGACAGGTTAAAACGACTAAACCCACAATTCCGGAAGCAGAAGCGGATGATTAAAACGCACCTGATATTTTGCTTGCTGCTGTCAGTGTCAGTGAATATTATTTTTGAAGTCACAGTTTATTGCTAAAGAATCAGTTAGCTCACTCGGACCAGTTGAAAGTTCCAAAATAACATCCACTCCAGGGATACAAATTCAGGATACGCAGAAGACTGCTGTTTTATTATAGGCGGTTGTCATATATTGTATTATCCGAGTTGCACAGTGTATAAACTGAAACATTGAGATCCAAAGTGCCGACGCACAGTGAGCTATCTGATTCTTTAGCTGTAAACTTTGTCACAGGGTTCAAAATGGCCGCGCCCTATGTTGGGCGTGTCGGACCTCTCTCTTGCCTCGTATAGTAATCAAAGTATGTGATTTCTGTAATATCGCTTTTACGTCTGTATTCTCCAACATCTCTAAATTGATGAAAAATAAGGTTGGGTTCTATTTTTTTTATAAGTTACACTGTGACATTGAACACTCAGTATAATTTAAATTAAGTTAGTTTACTCGCTTAATACGGTATTTGAAAACCTGCAACTGTTTTGTATGAAAACGTTAGGTACCAGAAATGCTCTCAAGGTCACAATAATGTATAAATGATTAGTTCAGTTTTTTGTTCAGATTTCTATAGGACGGATATATCAATAGACCTGCGCGTTCCCCTGATCTGATATACATAGATTTTCAATCTAAATATTGTTTACATAACGCGTAAATCTTACATCAATTTCTATGTAGCTTTTAGAAAACTCCAAAGCATCTCCTACTAATTCGATTTGTTGGAAGGCGTTGTTGTTGCATATTAAATACAACGTTTCTACTTGTAAACCCGGCTTGGTCGGCTGGAATATTATGTTAACTTCTACGATTTCTTCGCTACAAATTTCGAAGTAAGTCGGATAGATCCAGAATGGGCCTTTGAACAGTTCCATGCAAGTAGAAACGGTCTAAAAAAACGGTTAAACATTACTAGATGTAATTCTTGTGGAATAATGTGGTCTAAGTACATAAAGTAAATACCAACATGAAAAATGAAGATATAATAATTTATAATCGAAAAACAACTCATTGTTAAACAATAATAAATAAATTTATATAAAAAGAAAATCTTAGGCTACATTTTTTATGGACACACGTAAAGTGTTTGGCAGTGTGTGGCATATAGGCCTACTGTACAAACTATTTTTAGCTTGGACCTTGAAAAACATAAACAAAACTGAAACGAGGGCTACTTTTGGTTCCAGTTTTGTTTTTGTTTTCGGTCTTTTTCCACTGCTTGTCGCAAAGAACGTCGGAACTATTTTTTCAATAACCAACCAACATGTTTAGATATTTTTTATTCTTAGTTGTGACTGGTTTATACTGAGGTTCTTGGAAAATTAGGTGTGTTTTGAATCACCCTATATGTATATCTATATGTCAGTACCAGACTACGTCTATTTAAAAGGGTCGGTCTTTTCACCTTCATATAAAGTTTCAAATAACTGACTAACAGATATATTATCTGAGAGTTAATATCTATCAGATAATAAATTTCAAGTAAGTAGTATGCAGGGTAGTTATCCAGTAGTTTTTAAGGTTATGTGATCATGTAGCTATAGCGCAAGTAGAAGTTGGAAAGGCTTTTGGTAGGTAGAGAGGGGGTAAACGTCAAACCACATCGGTCGGCTTTGAGAATTTCGCAGTAATGTTTACCTGCCAGTGTCGTTTCATAGAATAAGCAATTTTAAATTGTTACCGGTGGAACTGGACTATCGCATGTATTTATGGACTATAAATAATTATTAAATATGTATTATAATATTTAAATCATATTTTTACAAAATTTCAACAGCTATTCACAATTTATTAAACTATTTACTCGAAATTGTTAATAACATCTATAACATAATTTTGTACGCCAGTGTATCGCGTCCACTTCGGTGAGATCTGCCGCAAACCTGTCAATTTATGTGTATAAAGTAAGAGAACTGGCAAAAGCCTTTCCAACTTCTACTTCGGCTATACCTGTTTATTCATCAGTCAAGTATTTTACCAGAAATTTTATAAGTAAGATAATTTATCTTCTAAGGATTAGGGAATACACTGGGAAATCTTGACATTAGGCCAGGTCACATGAGTATCTCAAGGTTAGTGACAGGAAACCTGCTAGACATGAGATCAGAACACATAACCAAGAGGTAATCTTTTAATACTCCATTTGAGGTTTTAATACAGGAAATAGTGGAGATCACCATAAGGAGCCCAATGCCCAAACAACAGGAACAAACCTGGTATACAGATGGGTCTAAGACTGCGGAAGGCACTGGGGCGGGAGTATTCTCCAAAAATCCTGATACTAACCGTAGGAATACATTCTGAGGTATTTCAGGCCGACGCATACGCAATTTTGCAATGTACAAAAACGAACAATTAAAGAGCTGTCGAAAATCAGCATATTCAAATAATGTCAGACAGCCAAGTGACACTTAAGGCCATATCGAGTCAGAAAGTTACATTGAGGCTGGTATGGGAATGCATCGAAGAACTAAGAACGCTGGCAGACCGAAATGGAGTAAAACTATTTTGGGTGCCAGGTCCCCAAGGGGTCGAAGGCAATGAAAAGGCTGACAAAAAAGTGGGTCAGAAGAAATATCGGAACCAGATACAAACCCAGGAGTACCAAAAAATACAATCTGGGGTTTCATAAACGACTGGATTCGGGAACAACATATTAACTATTGGGGAAGCACCCCAAAACAAGCACATGGAAAAGCTTTCATAGACAGACCATGTCCCAAAAGAACTGGAGAACTACTCTTAATGAATAGAAACCAGTTGAAAGTGACAACAGGGTTCATGACTGGGCACGTCCCAGTAAAGGGACACTTGAACAAAATTGGCATGTACAATGGGGAACTCATGTGCCGACTATGTCACAAGAAACCAGAAACGGCCAAGGACCTGTACAAACTTGTACAAGGTACAAAGGTGACAGAGTGGGTGCTATGAACTAACATAGGGTGAAACACAATAAGCCAATAGACTTCAGTGTTATTCGGAGACACATAGTCAGATGAGCCCAGGGGAAAAAAAGGATTAGGTTTATCCAAAAATGCAAAGATTACTTTTTAAGTTATCTGGGAGATAATAATTACCTGACACTTTATCTGAAGGTAAAAAGACCGTCCCTAAATTACTTATCTGTAAAAAAATACGTTATTTATCTAACTATACCCATTCGGTACAACACGACTATCTCCACTAAATAGTCTCGAGTTTTAAAACACTACAAAACCTTTTGATATTACCAATTCCGAGCGGGACTCGTGAAAAAAAATGCCAACTGTTGCAAAACATACCAGTTTTCAAAAAGTTTCCATAAAGTTGCAATTTTGTTTTTTTTTTGACACAAGTTTTTGTTTTTTGTTTTTGTTTTGTCCGTTTAGTGGAAAACCGCCATAACATTATTAACAAATTATCAACAATGTATTAAGCACCGTAGATACTTTTCAATGGAGCAGGAAGTTCCACAAGGATCTCCATTGTTACCGTTGCTGTATAACTTTTTATTCATGATATTGAGATAGAGACCAATTCCATGGGGATACTAATGGTAGGAAAATAGTCCGTTTTGGGCCAGGATCAAGTAGTTGAAAAGATAGGAGAGATGTAGCTATGGAAATATCTAATATGTTTGTTTATGTTATAATTATCTACCTATCTGGATTAGTGTACGGTTCAAAGTCCACTTATTCTACCCTACCAGGTAAATATTCTTGATGAATTCAAGAATATGTCTAATAGACGCTTTCGCAATTTCTTCAGGTTCCAGATATTGTACCCCAAAGAGCAATTTTCGTTCCCATTTATTTGTTTTATTTATATTGTTCAAATTCTGTTACCACCTATGTCTTGCTATAAACATAATGACTTATGTAAAATAGTTAATAACATTATTCTATTCTAATTATTCTAATATCACTGTATGGTGTCCTTTTCTCGAAAGTTCACATCCAAATCCATTATTGAACAGCCTGCATGCCGCCGCCGTAGCCTCCTTTTCCACCACAAGGTGTAATGGAGGAAGACCTAGCAGTAGCTCCATTGCTGCAGTAATTATTAGGCTAGTCTTTTATCTTGTCTAATTTTCTGTTAGCTGTTAAGCTTTTAGTCTTGTGCCAGCATATGACTGATGAGTAAGTTATAACAGGTACTACAACCATAGTATAAAATAAATTCATCATATTTGGTTTAAGTCCCCATTTGTTTCTTACCATCCGTCTACAGGCCTATATTATTCTACAGCTTTTTCTGTTTTTTCTATAAGGCTGCAGGAGCTAAGCTTGTCACCAAGAGTGATTCAAAGATTTTTAACCTCCTTTGTTATTTTTAGATGTTCCCACATATAAAACTCCTTTATTCCTTAAAGGTTTTTTCTTGTGAATATGACAACAGAGTTTTTGTCGGGTTTTGTGGACAATCCCCCTTTTAAGCACCATCTTTTGACGATATTTAGTGCCTGCTGCATCCTTTCGGAAACAACAGCCACAAATTTACCGTTTACTACGATGCTTATGTCGTCTACAAATGCTTGCGTGTATAAGTTTTCTTTCTCTAACTCCCATAAGAGGTCATCAACCACCAAGGTCCACATAAGTGGAAATAAAACTCCTCCCTGCGGACATCCCTTATTAACTGATACTTCTCTCATTGTGTTAAAGAGATTACGGTTAATGGTTCTATTATTATGATGATACTGGGATGACAAGATGAGAGAAATTATTCCAGGAGAATAAGCATACAACAGTTTATTGTGTATGTATATTGTAATAAATGAATCTAACCCAAAGGAACATTCTATTTATTATCAACAAAGTTAATCCAACACAGTGAGCAATAACACTATCAGAAGACCAGAGAAAAGGAAAGGTGGAGGAGGAGCAGAACGTTAATTGTTCAGGAGGTGACAGTATTTATTAACAATAAGAAGGTTCCAAAGGTAAAGATTAAACAAGACAATTAAAATTGGTGCCATTCGTAGAAAATGACCATAAAGATTTTTTGATGGTAGGGAGCATCATAATCTTCAATTCGTTGATAACGCATCCATACACGATCAGAATCAGATCAAAATGAAGCTGTAGGAACAAATTAAAATGAGTATACTTAAAAATACTCACTTCTACATTTTGAAAAAACCAATCGTCCTCGGTAATGATAAAAAACTTGCCGTCGTTGCCTTTGTTTTCTAGAACTATTGAAATCAAAACGTACTGACTAACTAGGCAACTGCCGCAATCTATGGTGGAGTTCAGGGCTTCTCTTCGTTTTTCGACGAAATGATTACTATCTGGATCGCATCTATCCAAAAGGTTGCTGTTCGATTTGAAGATACAAGTTATCAGTTTTGGTAGGTCACGCGTACAGCTTAGAATTAGCTCAAACATTTCTCCTAACAATAATAATAAAAATGATAATTAAATTAATATTATTAATGGAATTAGTAATGAATCTGATCCCAAACATTCCTTGTTTTATTAAAATCAACAGGTTGCAACGTTTTTTACCGTCTTTGTTCTTTAAGACAACTCTGTCTTCGATGTTTCTGAAAATTTTCGGTTTGAACGTTATAGTAAGGACCACACTCATTCCAGGTGCTAATCGTTGGTTGTTTATTATCATAGCTGAGAAATATGAAGTTTCCGGCAAGCTTCTTATAGCTATTGACTGTGTTGTACCACTAGTGTTGATTATTTTGACGTTTCTCTAAAAATGATATCCAATATTAAAAAACACACATACAACCTCATCAAATTCTTGACCGTGCATTGACTTTTTTGAGAACAAAATAACCTTTGTTTTAATCAAATATCTTTAATAAAAATTAAAAATAATACTGGTCTAAAGTTGAACCCCTGCGGGATTCCATATATCTTTCTATGATATTCAAAATATACCATACTTGCTTTCAAAATTAGTCACTGTCATGTGTAACTGTAAAAATAAAAAAATACGTACTTTGTAAATTTCGCTTATATCGTAGTTGTGAAAAATTACACATTTAGGATCTACGTGAAAACTTGGTTTTTTGATGATTGTCACTGTGTCAGATTGTAAATTTTTCTTAATTTGTAGGTTTCTGAAAAAAAAAAAAAAATACCACTGACATTTTTAGAAAATATATTAAAATTATTATAAAAAAAACTTACTTCCTCTGTTTGTTGTCCTTTGTTTTTATTTTTTCGATACAGCCAGGACAAATGGTGTGTTCATGATTTCTAAAATCTATAGAAATATATTATAAATGTTTTTGAAATCAATTTTATAAGAATTTAAATTTGTGTGCCTACCTTTTACCGCGTTTTAATTTTGATTTCGATCTTTTGACTAATCGAAATTTTTTACCCCTTTTGATATTTTTTATATTTTATGCCTTTTTTACGGTTTTAACGTTTTTTGACGTTTTTTTTTTTTTTTAATTTTTGACTGTCTTTGATGGTTGTTTGACGGACTTTTGACGGTTTATTGACCTTTTTACGTTTATTTACGTTTTTTAAAGTTTTCTTTTTACGTTTTTACGTTTTTTTACGTTTTTTTTTACGTTTTTTTACGTTTTTTAACGTTTTTTTACGTTTTTTTACGTTTTTTTGACGTTGGTCTTTGACGTTTTTCATATTTTTCCCATTTTGAGCTATTCATGTCTTTTTCTTATGAATTTGTCGTTTTTAGAGTTTTTTAACATAAAATTGTTCGATTTTTCACTTTATTTTAATATTTAAGTTTCAATAATTTATATAAAATTGCCTAAATATCGATGAATTATGTCAAATTAAACTCCAAAATAAATATTTTAAAAATAAATCAGCCAAGAATTTAAATTTTTAACGTTTTTATCGTTTTTTAGTGTGTTCACCTTCTGCCGCGTTTTAATTTTAATCTTTGTAACAAATCATCTTTTGACTATTCAAAGTATTTTACTTTTTTATCCCATTTGTCTTTTTTTGACGTTTTCTGACGTTTTTAAACATTTTCTGATGTTTTTTTGACATTTTCTGAATTTTTTTGACATTTTATGACGTTTTTTGACGTTGACATTAAATGAAGTTTTTGAAGATTGACGTTTTTTAACGTTTTCCAGTTTTTGGCGGCTTTGTCAGTTTTTTGACGGTTTTTGACTGTTTTATGTTCTTTTGAAGTTTTTACGTTGTTTTTAACGTTTTTTATATTTCTCCTTCTTTGTTTTCGTAAAGAATTTAAATTTTTAACATTTTTATTGGTTGTTAATGTGCTCAACTTCTGTCGCGTTTAAATTTTGATGTTTGTAACGTTTTTAAGAGTTGTTTTTTGACGGTTTTTGACTTTTTTTAACCATTTTTACCGGTTTTTTGACGGTTTTGACGTTTTGTCGGTTTTTGGACGGTTTTTGACTGTTTTTTGTTCTTTTGACGTTTTTACGTTTTTTTGACGTTGTTTTTAACATTTTTTATATTTTTCCCTTTCTGTTTTCGTAAAGAATTTAAATTTTTAACATTTTTATTGGATCTTAATGTGTTCAACTTCTGCCGCGTTTAAATTTTGATGTTTGTAACGAATCATTGACCTTTTTTGTTATTTGCTTTTTTTGCCATTTCTGACATTTGCTGACGTTTTTGACGGTGTTTTTTTTTTACGTTTTTTGACGGTTTTTTTGATTTTTTTGACCTTTTTTATATTCTTCCCTTTTTGAGCTGTTGTTGACTTTTTTTATATATATATTTGCCGTTTTCAGAGTTTTTTGAACATGAAATTGTTCGTTTTTTCACATTATTTTAATTCTAACAGTCTCAAGAATTTATTACCTAAATATCGATGAATCATGTCAGGAAGCAAATCCGAAGATTTAATCAAATTAAACTCCAAAACAAATTCGGCTTCTAATCGTTTGAAAAGTCGACAACGCTCCAATTTGATCCTTTCTCTGAGTTCAAAGGAGCAGTCCAGTTTGTCCTTTTGTATCAAATATAAGGCGTTTTGATACATTATGTCAGCAGCTGCTAATTGGGTTTTGGCCGTGATCTCTTGGGCACGTTCGTGTATCTAATGTTTCAAAATGGTAATAATAATTTTTAAATAATTGTTCAAAATTGAATGATTCAGTGCCAGAGTGGCCTAACCAACAAAATTTCAAAACAACCAGTCTTCGTATATTATTTTATAATAATTTCTGTGCATGCCAAAGTTACTTACTTATTCCTTAAAATTATTTATTTTCGGTACCGCCATCTGCCTAAAGATTAAACAGTTACGTCTTGTAGATCAGTTAAAGTGCTTTAATCTACATTCATAATTCACTTTTATTGAATTGTTGTTTAGACAACTCTAGCACTGAACCACTCAATAATAATGGGTAAAACTCTTCATTAAAGCTGATAATAAGAATTTAGGAAGTATGGGTGCAACAGAAAATAGCTGGTTCTGGTGTCTGGTAAAAGAAATTGAGGCTGTTCTTGTAAAGTTGGAGTTCTTCGTAGTTATAGTTAGCATTTGAAGACCTACTTTAATTCTATTTCTTCTAGATGAATTCATTTATACACTTTTACCTCCAAAACTCGTTTAGCATTATGCTTAAATGCTGGTTCGTCCTCTTTAACATCCTTTACGAACTGCTCGGCGATTTGTTTCGGATAAATTTCTCCATTCAAGGTGTCCTGAAGGGTTCTTCTTAATATAGGAGTAACTTCATGACTGACAGGGTTTTCTGGTATTAAGGGAAGAGGATCCATTTCGTATTTATTTTTATTATTTGGCTGAAAATTACGACACCTAAATGACATTCGTATAACTTCTGATTGATTGATAAATAAATTTTATAGGGTGTTTCCTAACTATGGTACGAAATTTCAGAGGGTGTTTCCTTAGGTCGCCAATAACTTTTATATTTTTATTTCATAAAAATCACTTACTTCAATTTTACAGGTTTTTATTATCGAAAACTTCTATTTACTAGCATCTATTTATGCAGATGCGCCTGATTTGTAATCCACGTGACAAGAACGTTATAAGTGTATCGTAACTATAAAGACTAGAGAGAAAGAGGCAAATCGGCAATAGTCAAATTTCTCAGATAAACAAGTAATTAATAGATAACTAATGGTCTGGATCCTTAGAGCATAGAGGTGTTACTCAAATGGGTTTGTTATGTACTGAGGGGGGTAACCCTTCGGTGTTAGGTACACGACGCATTATGATTAGCGAGTTAGGAACACGACGATTTATGATTGGCGAATTTAAATAACGCGTATATTTGTGATAAATGACATTTCATTTGATGTCTTGTTGTCGTTTTTAAAAGATCGTTTTTTGTGGCTTTCAAAGACAATTTGGACGAGGTATTTTTTTGATAAACATTTTAAGTGTATTTTTATTATAAAATAATTGCTAATCATGCCGAAAGCTTGTATAGTTTGCAATAATAAATTCTTAAAAGGATCCTGGTTGACGTTTCACAAGTATTCTATATTCCATAAACGTAACTTAAAATGGGAAATGGGGAAAGGCCATGTTTAATGTTCTTCATTTGAGCATCACCGCAACTGGTTGCGTTCGATAGAAAATAGTTTTTTTTTGCGATAATGCTAAATTTATGTCTTTTTGTATAATGTAAAATGGATTAGGTATATTTTTGTATGGTACATATTTATTCAACTGCGATTAATATTTTAAATCTTTTTTTATTTATTTCAAATTTCCTATTGATCTCACAACCAAACTGTCAAGTATTTAGTTTGAGCATTAATTAATAGCATTTCTAATAACACATGTTTGTGTTTAGACCATTTTTAACTGAACATTATTATAAATTTAGCAAAAGATTAATAAAAGGATCTATACCAAAAGCTGTACCTGTACTTGGCTTTAGAAATGAGTAAGTTTTTTCCAAAGAAATTGTAAATCATTGTAATTCATATATATGGCTTTCGAAAGACACTTATTTGCTTATTTTGTTAAATATAAACATATATTATTATTACATTATTGTTTACAAGCCTAAAAATAACGACGTTAAAGAAAATATGCCCTTAACTGCAGTTCCCAACAGTGGAAATTTCTAAGTTGGAAAAGAAAGATAAAATGCTTATGAAAAGGTATATTTTAAAAACCAAACAGGTGCTGGTAATAATAGTATGTGGAAGTTTTGAAATTTAATTAAATGTATATCAATAATAAATCTGCAAAATACATTTTATGTACATTTTATTCAAGACAGGAAACTTCAATCTTTAACTCTCTTTAGAAGACAAATCATTGTTTAGAATTTGATAAACTCATCACCTAAAACCATAAAATCTGTAAGCTCCCATTCATCTACAGTCTACACTAACTGCTTCTGAAAGGGAAAGAGAACTTAAAAAAACGAAGTCAAATAAGATATTTTCTCATATAGTCAAGAATTATTAAAATTTCAGGAAAGCAATGCTTAAGAAAAAAAATTAAACAGTTATTTTTTGATAGAAAATTAGCTCTTGCTCAAAAGAAAATATAATTAGGGCTCATATGAAACGAGATATGGGTTTCCGAGCGATTTTGGGGCCCTACGAGAAAACTGAGAAGCTCAAGAAAAATTTAGAGATAATTTTCGGCTTTTCTAGACCCAAATTACCCTATGAGAATTTTTTCGAAATTTTTTGAGTTAAAATAAAGAAATTAGAATGCGCGCGTGCTCAAAAAAATGCGCGAAAAATTGAAATACTAACTTCTAAAGAAAAATTCGCACAAACTTTTAGAGACCATTTTCTTTCTTTTCATGACATTCTAAGGTATTCCACGGCCTGAAATGTCATAATTAGTCGAAAGTTTGGAAAATAATTTTTTTATTTTTGAAGAAGACCTTTCCAGGACATGGGTGCAGATAAACCATTTCTGAGCCCATATTATCTGAGATATGACCAAAATATGGTGGAGAGCGGTTCAATAGAGTTTAAAAGTTATAAAAAAAAAATATTTAGAAGCTCCGAATATCGATAGAGATTTTGGAGCCCTACGAGAAAACTGAGGAAGGATCTGAAACTTCATAAATATCGACAGTTTGGAAAATATTTTTTTTTGAAAAGAACACCTCCCCGATACATGGGTGGAGATAAAACATTTTGAAACCCATATTATTTGAGATATGACCGAAATATAGTGGAGGTTCGTTCATTAAAGGATAAAAAGGATAAAAAAACCAGGATATAATAAACTGTTATACAATGAGCATCATAAGTCTTACCCCCCCTAACTCGTTACTGGGGTCTTGTTAGGAAAATCGCCGAGACAGGTCGATTTTTGATTTCTACAATGTATATTTTTGCATGATTAGTTTACCCTTAATTTCATCCCTTACTGGAGGGTAGCAATCCTTTCGAAAAATTTAAATGGCATGGGGTGGTGAGTGATAGCTCATTTAAAAGGGGGTTTCATTCTCTATTCTCTATCCTCACAGAAAAATCGTGTAACAGCACAACACGACATGGCAACCAGACGACATTTTTAGTCCTAGTTCTATATAAAAAAAAAATCATTGACCAAAACAGAGTGCGATTATGTCAAATATAACCTCTCTAAAATTAATCATAACCTGTAGGCGAGGGGTAGCCAAAACTGCGGGAGGGGGGGAACCAAAAAGATTTTTTTTGAGAAGCAGCTTTAGCGACGTGTAGGGGGGGAGGGGGTTGCTACGCGCGCGCGAGCAAAAAAAATCACAAAAAACGTTTCAAAAATTTATTGTGAATCAAATTGATACAAAAACGCCTGCGGCACGTCGAAATAGGGCTCCTCGAGGTGGAATCCGGGCCCCAAAATCCTAAAAAAGAAAAGAAAAAGAGATTTAGACCCGCGATTTTTTGCACAAATCGTAGCACACTCTACACTAAACACGATTGAGTAATAAAACTCAAAATACCCGATATTTTTCCAAAAAAAGCTAGATCTTAAACCAAACGCCGGCCATTTTGAAAACCACCTGACCACAGCAAAAACTAGGTTCCCCAAACTAAAAATTTCTAGCCGATACCAATGTAAAAAAAAGGAACCAAAAATAATCTTAAATTTTTAATTTGACCTCTAATCCAAAAACTAACAATTTTCTTGTAATCAGCGGATCAAACTAGGGGTATATTTTACAAAGTAGATTGGAATCTTTAAATAGTATATGATAGAATATATATTTTAAAAATAACTCTTTCATCAAAAGTACAGATATCTTGTGGATGTAAGAATTATTTCCAGAGATTTTGATAAATGTTTTTAATGATGAGGAAACATTTTATTTATATATGTTATTTTAGATAAATTAGTTTATTTTTTATGTCACTCTTGCAAGTGGATCTAAAGAATTGGCCAAGAGAGCAATTAAAGATCATTCCAGAACAAAATACTCCCCTGAATTAAGAGCGTTTGCACTAACTTTAAGCTTCTACAATATGAAAGCTTTTACCTACGTGAGGGAAAAATTTGTTGATGGTTGATGGTTCTCCTGGATTCACTGAAGAGCATTGAAATTTAAAGGCGGAGAAAGTCAAAAGGTTATAAAAAAGGTTTCTTGAATCTTTTGATGGATGAAATGGCAATTAGGCAAAGGGTCGAATGGACTGGCCAAAAATATATTGGATATATTGATGTTAGCAGCAAGTTTCAACAAAATCTGTCAGTTGAAGCAAAAGAAGCTATTGTGTTCTGCTTGTAAATTTAATAAATATATCTATTACGAATAGTTATGTACCTACTGTATTTTATATTATCTCTTGTATGTGTATACAGGGTGTTAAAAAAAAGTGTCACAAAATGAAATGGTGAATAGTATGACCCAAAATAAGCAGAAAAGTCTTAATAAATATATGACCGCAAATTAACGGTTTCGGAGATACGGACCATTTTGTGTTTATAACAATTTTTTATTATTATAAAAAAACAATGATATTTATAAATAATCAATAACAACATAGAGTTAAATGAGATGTGCAAATACTGACGTAGCGCTTCCCTCGCATTGCCATTTGCACGACCGTACATAAAATGCATGTCAGCTAATTCAATATTAGTGTAAACAGGCATAACGAAAATTTATAAAATTATTCACCCACAACAAAATAATAACTGCAAATAGTATCTATGAAAAAACATCGGTAGACTCCGATAAGAAAAGCAAGTTTTTGAGAATGAAAAAAGATAATCAAAAAATGATACAAAACACAAAACACTCCGTATCTCTGAAACCATTCATTTGCGGACATATGTTTATTAAGACTTTTCTGCATATTTTGGCCCATATTACCCCCCGTTTTATTTTGTGACACTTTTTTTTTAACACCCTGTATAGTACCTATATAGTATACAGTGTGTCCGTAAAGTATGGAACAAATTCATTTTTAGCTAAACAGACCATTTTAAGAAATAATCCTGAAACACGTCGATTTTTGATTTTAATTTACCGTATTTTAAAATAATAATCTAATATACAGGGTGAATTACTTTCGAGTAATGACGTCACCGTCATTTTTTTTTTAATGGAACACCCCCATTTTATCTCAATTTTCAGATTACTCTAGCTGGAGCTTATTCCAAAAATGTATCACATGTTGATTCCAATTGGTACAGGATGGACTTGTGGTCTAGCAGACAGAATAAGAAAGAAATTATTTCTTATCAATTTTGAAACAACATAGTCGTCTAGTTTTTTGTGAAATGTCATTATTTGTTTAGTAATTTATTGATGTTCAGTGACAGTTTTAGTACTACAATATTTTTGGTATTCGTTAATGTTTCAATTGTTGCTTAGATTTAATTTGAATTAGAA